AACACTTGAGATTTACCTTTTTAACTAATTAAGTACACAATACTGTGTTGTTAAGTATAAACATTGTGTCGTACAGCAGATCTCTAGACAAATACATCTTTGATAAATGATTCTGTTCAACCACATTTCTGTTCACACAGTTCTAGCTTCCCCCTTAGGAAAAGAATTTCCTCTCCCCACCCCCATCCTCCATATTTACTTTTCCACATTATTTTTAGCTCTTTGCTGCTTTCTCTTTGCAATCTCAGATATTTATCAGGTTCATTCTCAATATCATTGAATCCGTTTTCCTCTGTGTCAATTATAGTCTTTATTTTGTCTAATGTTTTCTTCATTCGATTACTAAGCTCTTAGCTTCCTTGTAATCCTTCCATATCTCATCTGTATTCCTTTCAAATTGGCATCCTTTACTTTAGAAGCCATATTTCTTGCATCCTATTAGGATGGCTGAACTGCTCTCTAGAATTTATGTCTCTATCTTGGAGGAAATGTTTTCCACAGATATCAAAGACTGGCGTTCCTTTTTCCCTGTTCTGCAATAATATTTCCCAGGCCTCACTGGTTGTTTTCATTTTCATCACCCAGATCCTGATTTCATTGACAGGACATGTAGCTTGCCTATGTCTTGCTCCACCATGACTTGAAACTTTTTTCCTATATATAGCTGGAGGGCAAGACAGCATGACAACTAACAACCCATCCTAGGACCAGCAGCAACCACCTCACACAGCCCTGAGAAAGGGGCTTGGAATCTTCTGCCATGCCCCAGCCCAGTTTTCTGACTTTTACAACCAATGTAGGATAAGAGAATTTGTGCCAGAGCATCTCCCAGGCCTCTGTCTGCCTCTGCTCCAGTTCCGGGGTCTCACTTTTCAGTCCGAGATACCCACAGCCTTGAGAGGCTGTCAGGTGGTTGCCAAGGAACCGACCGGCAGGCTGTGCCTCCAGGGGCCTCACTTGGCAATGTTCATTACCCCTGCTGGTCCTCAGCCTTGCAAGCCTATATTTTATACTGATTTTATCAGCACCCTGACAGGGGATCCATCTCTCGGGGGAGGACTCGCATTAATAAAGCTTATGAGACTGCTACATGAAACCAGATGCTGGATTATTGACTTACAAGAAGAAATAAATGATGCAAGATGGAAAATTTGAAGTCCACAGCAGCCATGCCTTTTATTTTCGATAGCTGAGTTATACAAGAAGCTAAACCATCATGCCAATTTCTATCTGTGAATTTGCAATGAAAGTCACTGCCATAGAAACCAAAATACTCAGGGCAAATGCTCTCTTTATAGGCAGACCTACATAGGAAGCCAAATAGTCAAAGAGTATTTTTGGGTTTGGGAGGTTTTCTTGTTTTTTTTTTTGAGAGGGAGTCTCGCTCTGTCGCCCAGGCTGGAGTACAGTGGCGCGATCCCGGCGCATGGCAACCTCCGCCTCCTGGGTCAAGTGATTCCCCTGCCTCAGCCTCCTGAGTAGCTGGAATTACAGGTGCCTGCCACCACGCCCAGCTAAGTATTGTATTTTTAGTAGAGACAGGGTTTGACCATGTTGGACAGGCTGGTGTTGAACTCCTGCCCTCAGGTGATCCACCAGCCTTGGCCTCCCAAAGTGCTGAGATTACAGGCATGAGCCACTGCCCCTAGCCTGTATTTATTTTTAGTAGAGACAGGGTCTCACTATGTTAGCCAGGCTGGTTTCAAACTCATGACCTCAAGTGATCCACCTGCCTTGGCCTCCCAAAAAGCTGGGATTACAGGCATGAGCCACCACACCCAGCCCAGAGTATTTTTGAACACAGACTCAGAGCTAGGGAGGGTGGATGAAGCAATGAGACTGGGCTGCCCAGTGTCTGTGTTCTGCCAATCACCATATCCCCCATATCTTTGCCACTGCTATCAACCAGTCTGCTCGTAGGCTTCTCTTCTCTTTTGCATCTGGGACCATTTCCCACTTCTGAGAGCTGGTTCCCTCCTTTATACAATCATTCAATCAGGAGATGGTCAAAACCATATCTGGAAAACCAGGTCTGGAAGGCTGTCTGATGGTTCACAAAATTTTTGGTGGATGCGGTGGCTCATGCCTGAAATCCTAACACTTTGGGAGGCTGAAGGCAGAAGGATCACCTGAGCCCAGGAGTTTGAGACCAGCCCGGGCCACATGGTAAGACCTTGTCTCTACAAAAATTAAAAAAATTAGCTGCGTGTGGTGGCTACTCAGGAGGCTGAGGCAAGAAGATCACTTGACCCCAGGAAGTCAAAGCTGCAGTGAGCCATGTTTGTGCCACTGCACTCACGGCCTGGGCAACAGAGTGAGACCACGTCTGAAAAGAGAAACATTTCCCTTTCATCTTCTGATGACTTTATTTTTTGTCCCTTCTTTTCACAGGTGCGGACTTTAGTGACTTTACAGGGGAAAATCTCATGTCCTCCATGAACAAGTTCTGAGGAGACCTTTTAATAATAGGAACTGGGCCAGGCACAGTGACTCACGCCTGTAATCCCGACACTTTGGGAGGTCGAGGCGGGCAGATTACTTGAGATCAGGAGTTCAAGACCAGCCTGGCCAACATGGTGAAACCCCATCTCTACTAAAAATACAAAAACTAGCCAGGCATGGTGGCACACACCTGTAATCCCAGCTACTCAGGAGGCTGAGGCAGGAGAATAGCTTGAACCCGAGAGGTGGAGGTTGCAGTGAACTGAGATTGTGCCACTGCACTCCAGCCTGGGCAACAGAGTGAGACTCAGTCTCAAAATAACAACAACAACAACAATAATAATAATAATAATAATAATAATGGGAAGTGATCTTAGGATCTGCTCTCTACTACCTCTTACGCTTTCTACGAGTATTTCTACCTCAGCTTTCTAAGAGTATTTGTTTTATTCCAAATGGATTTGTTTCCAGAGTGTGGGGTTGGTGGAGAGCAGCCCCTTGGAGAGTTGACAAAACAACACCCAGCCATAGAAAGACAGCTGATCAGGTTTCTGTTTGGTACACAGTCTGGGTGTCGAGCTGGGAACAGACCACAGGAGGGGGCAACATGCCTTTCTGACTCTTTTCAGAAAAGCGAGGCTGTTGTTTCCCCAGGAGAAGAATGTTCAGTCATGGGTTGAGATCTCCTTATCAGTTGCACCACCCTTGCAATTTTGCGACAGTTCCTATCAGAGAGAGGCACTTGGCTGTCTGCCAGACATGGGTCTGAGAGTTGTCCGGAGTTCCTTTCTCCTTTGAATTTTTGTTTTAAGTTGAAGGAAGTCATATCAGAGGTTGCTAACTCAATTGGACCCTCCAAACCAGAAATCGTACAGAGAATTTCTCACTTTATCTATAAACTGTCCAAACCAGAAATTTTAGCAGCACAGTAAGGGGTGGCCCTCGCTTGCCTCTCACTCCACGCCTGACGTTGGAGAAGTAAAGGTTTGAACCCTTGTCTCTGGCAGCCTGGGCTCAAGGACAGCAGGAGCTGGGGACTACAAGACAGCAGCCTCACTCATGCTGACCTGTTGGCCTCCTCGTGCCCCTCATCATGCCCCTTTGTGCTCTAGGTTGACGTGTTAACGTACTGAGAGTTTTACCTCTTTTATTTCAGAAATGGGTCAAATTTAAAAGAGACTTTGATAATTTTAAGACTCAATGTATCCCCTGGGAAATGAAGATCAAGGACATTGAAAGTGAGTATGCTGGTGTCACTGTTTTTTTAATTGGTTTCCTAAAGCATTTCCCAAGAGCTTGGATTGTTTCCTTGGCCCTCTGAATAGATTATTTCATTGGTTCTGTTGTATTAGGAAAAAAGAATGGGTTTTGAACTTGTCAGACCACGATTTGTTATTTATTTATTTATTTATTTGTTTGTTTGTTTGTTTTTATTTATTTATTTTTGAGACAGAGTCTCACTCTGTTGCCCAGGCTGTGAGTGCAGTGGTGTGATCTCGGCTCACTGCAACCTTCACCTCCCAGGTTCAAGCAATTCTCCTGCCTCAAGCTCCTGAGTAGCTGGGATGACAGGTCTGGGCCACCACACCTGGCTAATTTTTTTGTATATTTAGTAGAGACAGGGTTTCACCATGTTGGCCAGGCTGGTCTCGAATCCCTGACCTCAAGTCATCTACCCACCTTGGCCTCCCAAAGTGCTGGGATTACAGACGTGAGCCACTGCACCCATCCCAGACCAATATTTAAATTCTGCTTCTTCACTTTCTTACTGTGGGCACTTAGGCAAGTTAGTTAACCCCAAAGAGCCTCAGGTTATTTATCCAGGAAAAGAAAGGGAGATCCAGGTGTCATTCAACAGACTGATGTGAAAATTGAATTCATCACACACATAAAGTGCTCAATAGTGTCCACGTTTTCCTTCTGCACCACTCATACCCACCATCTTTTCTCTCTCTAGGTCACTTTGGTTCTTCAGTGGCATCATATTTCATCTTTCTCCGATGGATGTATGGAGTTAACCTCGTCCTTTTTGGCTTAATATTTGGTCTAGTCATAATCCCAGAGGTAAGAAAAGAACTTCCTAAATCTTTGGATAGAGTTAAGGCTTAGGACCACCATCATCATCAACCAAATACTTCCTATTTTACAAAGAATCAGTCATTCATCTAAAATGCTATTAGGTTGGTGCAAAAGTAATTGTGGGTTTTGCCATTAAAAGTAATTTATAAATTACTGCCATGAAAAGTAAATTTATAAAATTAAAAGTAATGGCAAAAACCACAATTACTTTTGCACCAACCTACGACCTAATGTACTCACATCAATTATCCAGATAGTTAAGTACAAAGAATGGAACCAAAATACTTTGTTCCTTAATTAATAAGTGAATCTTAGATTTCTCTACTTCTCATTTTACCTTAAGATCAGTGGAGAATTTATGTTTCAGTGAGTTTTTTCTTTTACCCTCAAACAAGAGAGAGGGATAGAATACATTATATCATTATTTATCACCAAAAAAAAACCCTTGGATTTGAATATCTCTCCTCACTATTCTCCCATATATAATATTTTAAGGAAGTTTTTTTTAGAAACAGGGTCTCACTCTGTTGCCCAGGTTGGAGGGCAGTGATGTGATCAAGATTCAGTGCAGCCTTGAACTCCTGGGCTCAAGTAGCCCTCCCACCTAGGCCTCCCAAAGTGTTGGGATTACAGGCATAACCCACTACACCTGGCCCCAGATGTGATCTTATTATGGACGTAAATAGATTCTTATCTACAGATGATTAATTGAGAAACAAAAAAGGGGTAGTAAGCAATTTGTGCAAAGTCACACAATAAGTTCATTGTGAATTGGATCCCAGGTCCCCAGAGTGAAGGCCTGGGGTCTTTTCCAAGGAGCCTGTGGCTCACTAAGCACTGAGCACAGCAATTGCTACAATTGCTACAGTCCTGACTGAAATACTTGGTGCCAGTGCTGGGTACACAAGTGGGTCTACTTCAATAGCTTTCAGAGGAACAATATGTCTGCATTTAGTATGTTCTTCCTCACAGGTGTATTAATTGGTTCTTTGATGACTTACTGACTCCTATTTTGTTATAAATGGTTCTGTGAGCATATTGGAGTCAATTCTATCTGCAGTTACATGCTTAACTTTTCTGCACAGCCACTTTCAGGACATTAAAAACCTTTCACATCATGTGAATTAAATCAGATTTATTGGAGGAGGTTGACCATGCATTATAATAGCCTTTGGTAGCAAAGGAGTGTTACATTATTTATAAAATTGTTGAATTCTTTTCTAAATTACCCAAAACGTGTGCTTACAAATATGTCATTAACTAGCCTTTGTACTCTTTCATATACACACCCAGAAGTCAAGGGTTCTGAGTTCACTGAGCCCTACATATATTCCTATGCCAATATCACTTTCTGACCCAGAAGTTAGCATTTTAAACTTCACTGTCAAGCGTACACAAACACTCTGACACCAAGTCTGGTTCTCCCCAGGGGGAAAATATTGTCAAAAGCTAATAGGAAGTTTCATTTCTCTCCTCCATAGTCAGGTAAATATGAAATGTTTTCCTCAGTAGTCAATGGGGAAATTTACCTTCACAAAGCTCTTGGCTTTCTTCTTGGGATCTTTTTATTCCATGAGAAGAGAGCACATTTAAATGCCATAGGCCTATGAGACATCTCTGGAATTTTGCTATGCAGTGGTCCATGAAAGGCAGTTTTCTTGGAAGTTGAGGAATTTTAAGGACACTCAGTTGTTTTTTTAAAGAAAACATCAAATTTGGTATAATTTATATACGTTTATAAATATTTTTATGAGGGAATATTTATTTGAAACAATAAAAACTTAGTGATTGGTGCATTCCAATGAAGCAGCCAAGATCTGAACCATTCGTGCTAGAGCACCTTGATTTGACTGGCAGGTGATTGGGAAACCCGTGTCGGAGTGGGTTGAGAGTAAGAGAGAGAGAGAGAGAGAGATACCTTGCAGGAAAGAGGAGCCTTGGCTTGGGAAGAGGGAGAATGGAAGAAGGGAAATAGAGGAGAAGGGAAGAGGTTTAGACCAGATAGGAGCCTGTTGCAGTAGGTCAGTGCTAGATCCGGGTAATATCAATGGGAATGGATTAAAAGAGAGGAATCAGAGTGAAGCGCACGGACAAGTCTTGATGACAGGTTGGATAACAGCAATTAGGATGTGCGGTGTCCTAAGATGCCTTTTTATTTAGGATGATGGGAAATCGGCCATATAGGAATCAGACACAACCAAATTCACTGCATATATGAAGTGTCCTGTTGGTCAAAGACACAGAGAACTTCAGGGCCCAAGGGTTTTCAGCATAAGCTAAGGTTCAGAGATATCCCCGTGACTCATGGATGTTTTAAAATGAAG